TAAACTGAACACTCTGATGGAGGTTGTATTCATACACACACCATCCTTTACCTAGAACAGATGGTGCAGTGGAACACATATAAATCCAGGCAGGAAACATAGCAAGATTTAGAATATGTTAGCTACCATTGCACTCCACAATTTTCACTAAATGTCCTTGCTAGAAGAGATGTATAACTAGATAAATTATAGTGAATTGGCTTGCCTGAGACTTGTTAGCACTACTGCACCCATGCTCAATCATAAGATTGCCTACAAAATAGAATGGGATGCCACAGTAGCTAAAATAAAAATATACTTTGAATTTATGCTGCTGTAAACAGAAGCATTCTCCCCTTGAAATGACTTTGTCAAAGCCAGAAGATGCCAAAAATATAACATGAACCTTTCTCAGTGAGAACAGCTGGATTACAGACAGGAGGTTAAACCTTGCAATATAGAATGAGCTGCATGAAACTACCATTTAATTCAAGTTAAATGATGGTATTTAACCTTTCCCCCTTTTAGCACTACACAATTAGGCTTGCATCATTAGAACATAAGACTGCCACCAATTACTTTCTAATTGCTATGTTATGTAGCACTGTAATTTTTTTTCCATAGCAATATACTAGGTTCTTAAAATGCCAAACAGTGAGATCTGGTTCTTCCCAAAGCTGCACAACTTATTTGGTGTTAGTAGAAGAGATTCCCAGGAGCAATAGTTACTACCCATGCCTTATTGTTGATATTTAGTTACCCCCCTTACGAATTAAACTCATGAAGTTTAAACCAGCTCTGTTATCTCTTCTGTTGTGCTAACAATTAAGGATATTCTTATTCTTGCTGTATTGTAATTTTTTTTGAAAAATTTAATAAAAATGATTAATAGTCTCAATGATAATATTTATATATTCTCCATAATATACGACATCACTACTCTTGGAAATCATGCATAATTCTCATTGTACACACATTTATACATCAAAATAAGAGCACATGTTCATTTTATTTATTTATTTAGGATATTTGTATGCCATCCTTTGCAAGAGCCTTCATTTTATGAAGTGACTATGCACAGATGTGCAAAAGTATGCTCTGCCACACTTCTATCCTTTTTGTTCATGGAGCTCTTGTTGGTGTACATCAACCTACGTCCACCATCTATTTATCCTCATTACCTTGTGTAATGAATCACCACCTCAGCATAATTTGTGATCACCCCGTAAATTTTATAAAAAGGTCTTTTAATTTGATCAGTTCAGATCCATCACACTTCCTAGTATAATGGCTCAGCCATATGTACGTGTTCTACTACATGGTCTGGAATTAGATAATAATAAAAATAATAATAGGCTGTAGATTTTACCTAAGATCTGCAAGATCTGTACTTACTCTATCTTATTTCCTGGCATGCAGTATGGAAGACCTTCCTAAGCTGCAGAAAATCTACTCCCACATTTTACACACATTCTGGGAAACCTTTGGTAAGATAGTTAACAACAGGAAAATAGCAGGATCCATAGAAGCAGCAATATTTGAAAAGCAGAATGTTGTTCTACAGCTTCCTGGTACAAATGTTTTATTACAATATATTGGCTTTTAAACTGTGTAATTTACTAAGTTGGGTGGCTGATGTACGTTGGAGTTACAACAAGAAACTGCCGATTTTTCAAGCATGAAATTTGCCTTCATCCAGCACACACTGTCAGCTAAGTCTATCAAGTAAGCCAGGTTGCTTTGTTTGTGAGTCACTTCATATATAAACATACAACTATTACCTGGATTTTTCTGCAAATATTTTTGAGATCAAGCAATCTGTCAAATGTTCTTATTTGTATCATTGAAAAATGTGATGCTAATATCTTCAGCTGGTCAGATGGATAAACTAATTCCCGATACTACTGTATGGAATATACACTACTTGGGAAGCTTGGGCCTTAAAAAGGAAGGAAAACACTTGTGAAGGGATTGCATGTATGTAATGATCTGAAACACTGCAAATCAATTAGCCTGCTCAGTTCAGATCATTACTATGTATAATCAAAAATGCACAAAGAGTATAAAATGTAGAATGAAGTTGTTCCAGTGATGAGGGATAGAAGGGGAAGACTGAGCTGAATTGTTATGTGTCACAAATGATTGAAATTCAGCAAGGGGTACTGATTTCAAGATAGCTGCATATAGGGTATGGGCCCTATCATAAAGTCCAAATACTTTTATTGTTCTACTATCCTGAGATGTGCTGAAATATCATAATGGCTCTGATACTGTCCTGATAAATGATAAACTCATGGTCATCTCGACAGCCCTTCTTTGCTGAGACTTTGCAATTGCATTATTGAGAACCAAACTACAGGTGAAACTCTTCCTACAATTATTTTGATCAGAGAAGTGGCACAGGTGGGGATCTTAAAACCTTCTCTTTCCTGATATGCCTTTAAAAAAAAAAAAAGTACTATAGGTGTTTTATGTGGCTTTGTTTGGGAAAGTTTTCATTTGGGAAACTACATGGAGAAAGGTTTAAAAGCTATCTCTGCCAGTACTGCTTACAAATTTAGCAACCACTACAACTTTTTGAGATCAAAATCTAATTGTAGATTACCAGTCACCTGTTTTTTTTTTCTTTTTTGTACCCACAAGTTTTCTTCAACCTGTTTCTTTAGAAGCCAACAATTATAAGGGAGGAACATAAGTGTTTCTCCATATTCAGAAAGCATTCTTCAGAATTCTCCAACAAAGGGAATTCCTGATGCACAATGGGAAGAGAACTTAAATGACAACAGAAAAACCACATATGACAAAAAGGTGAGCAATTGTATTTTCATACAATGGGAAGACTGAACAGAGCACATGCTTCAGTACCACTTGGAGATTGCCAGATAAGAGCATGCACATGTCATCAGTTATGACCATTACAAAAGAAATCAGTGCAAAACATGTCAAGTGTAAAACAGATCAAGCCTTGCATCAGTGACCACTTTTGCCATGAATCAGTGCCTTTAATTCTTTACCATTGCATGCTAAACTTTTACATACCTTGCAAGCAAATGAACTTGGTCACTATTTGAACGTCTAGGTAATGACAGAGATAAAATGAGTGCCTATTTAAATGCCTGGTGTATTGAAAAAACAGGATATAGGATTGGTTCATCAGACTCTTCCACAGCTAATGAAATAATTAAGGAATATGTTCAGTCAGAGATGACCTAGTTAAAATTTACTACAGTCAACCACTATATCTTTATTGCAGGACTTTGTGGAGATCAAACAAACTACCTTAACAAGTGTCTGATGGGGTAATTGGAAAGGTTAATTGCATATGCCCAAGTACAGCATTCAATCAGGCTTTGAACAAAAACTGACTGGATAAGCAGCCAGTTCATTTGAGATAAGCAAACTAAGGCACCACATTTCCTTAAGAAAACAATTTTTTATCCTTGGACATTGTAGAAAAAGAATACCACATTTGGAAGTAAAACTGTGTATTTCTGTCACACAGCCTAAAACTGTTTGAATAATTTCTCATGTTCCTTAAATTCAAATATAAGCCAGCCTAATACCAACGGCTGTTAGATCTTAAGATTATTCAATTAGAATATAAAACCTCAAATTGCATGTTACTCACACCACCTCTAGCATACTCAAGTAATTCCCCATCCCTCCCCACAACACAATAGAGCATCTATGTAACGGATGATTAATAGTGTTATCATTAAAACAATTTTTTAAACATCTAGACAACACATTATGATTTGTATGCAATGTACTTCTGCCCGATGGACACCTCTACCAATGCAAGAGTGGATATTCATTGCTCCAGATAGCCCTGAAATCTGCTTGATAGGGCTGGCAGACCCTCCAGAGCAGATGTGGGGGTGCAGGGGAGGAAAAGGAAGAGGGGAAACCCACTGTGCAAGCAGAACTCTTTAGTTCATGGACTACATCCAAAGGTACATTCTTGAATCAGAATGTTAGTCAGTTCCTATTATCAAAAAGCTTGCTTCTGCTGAGAATGGCTAAGGCATGAAGCCTATCAAAAGGCAGCAACATCTTGTGATGCCTGTAACATCTCATGTAATTCTTAGAAAGCATGTAAGCATGCCTTGAAAACTTGACCTAAGAAGCAAACACACAGTATGATTAGTTTAAGTTAATTATTCTCCCACTCCACACCAAAGGTTGTTGTGTTTCTAACTTGGTACTGACAACCCTGACTGACACCCATGGTCTTTCTGTAGAGCTGTTATTATTTGATTTCTATACCTTGCCACAGCCGAAGCTCCCTGGACAGTTTACACATATTAAAATGTATTATAAAAATACAATAAAAATAACAGAAAAATCAGAAAAGGGCATTAAAAATCTAAAACAGCTAAAAACAGGCAATAACAAGGAACATCAGAATGATTCTGCAAAACACCTGGTGATCCCCCTCAAGCACCTGGGTGGCCAAGTAAGTCTTGAAAAGAGGGCCATATTAACTTGGTGACAAAAAGATGAGAGTTTGGCACCAGCTGAATTGCAGTAGGGGAGCTATTCCATAGAGAGGGGGGCCACCACCAAGAAGACCTCTGCATTTCCCAGGAAGTTGGCACTTAGAAAAAGGCTGCAGAGGTTGAGTGTAGTGTCTGAGTAGATTGCAGCTGCAGGGGCACTCCAACAGGGGTTTTGATCCTAAGCTGTGTAAGGCTATTAACTAGATTTGCCATTGCTTTAGTCAAAGTCTTTGTTCACTGTAGTATCTGATCTGAGTGTTTTTGAGGAATGGCATTTTTATAGGCACATTTTGATTGTTTTATAAAGAAATCAGAGTTTGAATGTATGAAATATCTCTGATGCAGTTTTAAATATTGAAACAAAAAATCAGACTGACTTTGCCAAAGCAAAACACAGAGTAAAATGACATAAGGTTAAAATCAAGACTTTGAGCAATTCATGCAGGCAATATTAGGCATACACACGCTTTTTTATTTTGACTGTTAACTACATATTTCTAATGAAATAAGACCATATGCACATAATATTTTTACAAGTTTATTTTCTTCCTTATAGGACACCAAGTTTTTAGGAAGCAGGGAATTACTCTGGACAGACTTCTGAAAAGAGTTTTAAAAAATTCTGGAGTGGGGGGGAGAGACACCATCTATGGTCGATCATGTGGTAATCAGCCAAATGCTGTATGATGTAAAATGGCTGAATAATACACATTATACAAACATTTCAACAGTTTAAAATAAGAATCTGTTCACATACACAAATCTTGTCATGAGGCAAATTACATTTTTCTTAAACTGAAGGGATGTCATTTAATGGCAGTGCCAAGAGTCTGTAGTGTACTGCAGGTATGTAATACAGTACAATGCCATCTGCAACTTAGCTGACTAGCAAGCAGTGGATTTAAGATTTAGTTACATTAATTTCAACAGACTGAACTGGCTTTATTCATTTTGGTTTAAGTACATGGAGAGAAAGCTGTCTAACTGGCTTGGTTCTTCTTCCTATTCCCAAAATATTAATATAGTGGGTAATCCCATTATGGTTGTCAACATGATTTTTCACATGCTTTTTCAAAACAAAATGTGTCTCTCATAATTGTTACACATTTTGATTGTAATGAATTTCAGATTAAAAAACCATTTTATTTTAATTAGTACTAAAGTGAGTTTTTGAAAGCTCAGAAACAATAAGCCAATGCCTTAAAAATTGTAAGGAAAGTTATGAATCCAAAAATTCCACTGCATGAGTGGCATGCAATTTTGCTTTTGCACCAAAAAAAGTTGTTTGACTTAACAATCCCCACACCTCTGTTCTGCAGAGAACTGGTTTAAAGGGATGGGCAATGGAACCCAAGACAGCAGGTCTGGGGAAGACTGAGCAAGGAAGACAAGAAAAAAGAAGAAATTGGCAGCCTGCATGCAAAAGAAGATCTTCACAGCTAAAGAAACTAGGGATGTGCCACTGCTGACTGAAGTGCTTCTTCTCCACTTAGTCTTACATCCATAGTAATTACATCATGACTAATAAATTCTGATCCCTTGTAGTACAGAATGGGCTATGAAACGTGTTTTAAATCTATGACTTTTCATACAGAACATGTTTACAATTTGGAAAGAAACGGAAGCCCTTCATACATGTCAGCTTTTAACTTCATCCAGTCATTCAATCTTTGTAAAGTTGTTTTTTCCTGTATTAATATTTTGGCAGCCTTTTTCAGTTTTTCTTCATTTCGTTCTAAATACTGGATGCCATCCATTTGCAACTGATTAAGCTTTTCCTTACGATTCTCATCCAAAGGTATGTCTTCATTCATCAAAGGATTAAATCTGAAGTAGGTGTCTGGAGGTAAAAGGGCATCCAACATAGTGTGGACTTCTAAATAAAAAAAAACAGGAAAAAACCACAGTATTAGTTTGTGCAATTATATGAACTCAGGCTATCCTTTAACTGACAACTAAGGCATTCAGATGAAAGATTTCTAGATGAGGTCAGTTCTGAGCTTGGATTTGGACACCAGAGCTTGTAGCATGTAGAGAATTCTAGCATAAGAGAATAGTCAGCATTGTTCAAGAACAAGCATGTAAGTGATACAGTTAGATGCATGAAGCCCAGGGGTGGGCAAGACAGCAGAGTTGGGGGTGGAAACAAGGCCACAAAAGAGGTTTTATGCAAAAGACAAAGACATGCAGAAGTGGGTAAATGTTCTGTAAAACTAGATAGGTGGATGAATTGCATGTCCAAGTCCTCAATACAGGTAAAAGGATCAAAGTGTGGGCAAAAGAAGGCCAAAGGGAAAAATACTTGTAAGTAGTCAAAGAGGAAGATAATCAGAACATTAGCCAGAATTTTAGATTAGGGAGCAAAGGAAGAATGGCAAAGTTTTGCAACACTATATGGGAATAAGTGGCACAAATTGTAGCAGAGTGAGAATGATGAGCAAAGCGGAGTGGAAAAAGTCAAGGTTTCAGTGCCTACTCAACAGGGCAAACAGTGATCTAAAATAAACCAGCCAAGAAAAGTGAGACATTTTGTCTTGAATGACATTTGCAATAACAACAGTAGAAATCTCAGATACCTGAAGACAAGAACTGAGTATGAGGTCTTTTGTGTACGAAAGAATGACCAATGGCTACATAGTAATTTCCATTCTCCCACTTCAGCACTTTCTTTCCCATTTTTGGTTTCAGATACTAGTATAATGCTTAAGATTTAATATACTGCTTCTATGAGGAAAGACCTTTGCTAATTTCTCCATGTCTAGCTTCCTTGCCCTCCATCCCTCCTCTGTTCACTCTCAATTCCTTATTTGAAATGTGATTTTTTTTTCCAGATTGGTTCAAACGCAGTAGAACCAATTAATGTGTTTAAACTTGGATTTGCTTTAAGTTGAAATCAGGAGGCTGAAATAAATAGAATAAAGAAGCACATTAGTGGTATGAATCCTACTTATACCCATTGCTTTCTCCTCTGTAGCCCTTCTACCAAGTACTTTTATTTCAAACTGGTCCTGATACTAGAATTCAGCCTATCCAAAACAAAAGTTCAGTTAGGGAGGTAAACCAGAGGAAGCATTATCACTTTTCCCATCAAATCATGTACTTCTCACCCTACTTTTTGTATGACTGAGACAGACCCTAGTTAAAACACAGGAATGTTTCACCATCATCTGAGCTCAAATCTCTGTTTCCTTACCCTGATCCCTATGCTTGTTCATGCCTTCCTTCCTATTACTGATGCTGGTAACTTCAGAAGCTTTAACCAGAAGCTTTAACAGGTTAAAAAGTCTTAGCTCTTTTACATTGGTAAAAATATACAATATATAAAGCAGCATATTCCTAACATTCTATATATTCATTACCATTGCTGTCATTGCCTGAGATTCAGAAGTCTTGGCCTAGTAACCATAATGCACATTTCAGTACACCTACAGAACTGTAAAGCTAGCAGCCTTTCTGGAGCTTTGAATCCCTAACACCTCATCAGCATTATGGCCAGGCTTTTCAGATGTTACGTATTCATTAATCAAAGAGAGCTGAATAACAGCACACTCAATATACAGTCCCAAGCAGTTAATTTAAATTCATACCTGGCAAGCCTTGCTCACTAAATACCTAACATATTAGGCAAATACATAATCTTAATTTAACAAAGGCACACTGTTTTTAAGCAATATATTCCAGATCTCCTTTTATCCATACTTTGTATAAAAACTATCTCCACCCCCCAACCGACATGTAGATGGTAAGAGATAGGGATTAACAAAATAATCTCAATTTGAACAAAGGTTATGAAACATGCCCTTGATGGAAACAGAATGCTTCCGATTATGTTTTTACTGGTAAATCACACTTATTTATATCTCAATATGGTTTCTGCTATGCTGCTCCTGGTCACAAAAATCAGTATAGTAGAAGTCCGGAAGAGATACAAATGTCTACCGTCAAAAAAGATGTTAATCACTAAATACTAACCTTCGGTATCAGTGGCACTGCTGATGACATTAGTCAGTTTAGCTTTAAGACTAGTATAGGTGACACTGGTTTTCCCTTCATTTTCATATCGGCCAGTTCCCAGAGATATCACACATTGCAGTGGCACATTTGGCCAAAGACACTTGCACTCATGTACTGCTAAAGCTGTAGGATTATTTAAAAGCAGGCCTCCATCCTGTGAAATAAAAAAGAAAGCAAGATGGTTAACCTATCAGTAGTCATTAAATGTATCTTCTACAATTTCATATCAATTTTTTTCCTGAATTGTGGACTATTTTCAGGAGGTCAGAAGCATCAATGTGAATCTGTATTGAGATTAGCATACAAGGAAAAATACACGATCACCTGCAGGTACTGTATTTTATTAAACTATACTGGAATTTGGACCACTTCTTCCTTGGTGGTTTTTGATATGCAAAATCAACTTAGTCTCCAGCTGCACATAGAGCCAGTATCTTTTAGTCCCACAGAATATTTTTTCAACAACAACACTGTTAAGTTTATCCCATTCCAACATTCAAACCACATTTATACTTAATATATTGTTCAAACAACAAGTGAATTCTTTATTAAAAACAGAAACTCTTTTTTACCACAGCTGCAGTAGATAAAGTAGTGATGTAGATCATTGGCCCGATGAAAAAGTCTTTTGAGTAAGTTTTCAATACAATCTACAAGCGCTTTCTGAACTCTCTCTGGACAAATTAGTATATTGTATCTTCGGCAGACAGTACCCTCTCTCTTAGGCCATTTTATAATTTTGGCTAAAATCAGATTTATCCCAACACCACATAGTAAACACTTGTTGCTCTATGAATAAATCTACTGATTTGAGTCTAATACCCTAATTTTTAAAGCAGAAAGCAGCAGAATATACTTGTAGTTTACATATTCAATCTTCAGTAAACTAGATTCACGAAACTATAAATCACAGGCAAATGGCAGACCATACAATTTATAACACTGGATGAACTTAACGCATGTCACCCTCCAGTACCTGGTTACTCTGGGCAGTGAACATACTTGAATTCTGGATTTCCTTGCTTTCAGCTTCCCTCCAGCCTTCTTCTGCTTATTTAGCTGTAATTCATTCTAGCAGCAATCTATTTGCTTTTTTCCCTTCATTAAACTTAAAAGCTGTCTTGTTAAAACTGTCCTTAATTTTTTCCCATAATAACTGTCTCCAAAAAGACAGGGTTACTCTATTTTGAGTTTGTTAAAGTTTAAAAAAATAAAAGACAGGTGACTAACTTTAGTAAATTACCTATTTATCCTAATAGACACATCAGAATTCACAGATCTCACCTTTGGTCATGTAATGCACTGTGGTTTTGACTGTGCTTTATTTACAGTTGCTAATCTTGAGTAGCTATTTAAACTTAAAATGAAAAAAATGTTCAAAACTTTGGGTTTTTAAGAAATCCAAGTTCAACTTCAAAATTTACAGCACAAATCAATCCTATAATAATCTATCTGGCCTTATGTATCGTATCTTCAGATGCTTGAAGCTACAAGAAAACATACTTTGCATGTGCTGAGAAAGAAAACCCCACTAACACTTTCTCTCCAAACTGAGTAACCTTTAACAAACATCCCTATGAAGTATGTGCAAAACTCTTGAATTTCATTGAACTGTGTGGCAACTTGCCAAAACTGACATGGAATACATTCCATGTATTCTCCCTTCATTTCTCATGTTGCCTTTCCTTGCCCTCTATTTTGTCTTCTCTATTTATTCTTACTCCAACCGCAGGTTTCCCTCTTCACTACTCCCCAAATGTACATGAGCCTTCTCTGCCCCTCTTTGTACTCCTGCATTCCTACATTGATCCCATGCCCTGCTGTTACCATCAGCCCACTGGGAACATTGAAAAGATTCAATCTTTGCTATACTTTCATTGACTGTAAATTCAGATTCAACACTTTGACCAAGAGGGGAAGGGGGAGGGAGGGGGATAGAAGGAGAGAGAGAGAATACAGTACTGAACAGCTATTAGGTTTTCAACATAAAGCCTGGATCTTCAGACCCTTTCTGGTATTGAAGCATCTGCTTCATTCAGGATTGAAACGTCTAAATGTCACACAGGCAACTACTAAAGTAATTTATCTATGTCACTTTCTTTAAATGTACTTATTTTAAAAATATGAATAAAATAAGTCACTGGGCAGAAAAGTTGTAACTCAACTCTAAGTATATCTTGCAAGCTCAAAGTATTTGTTTTTTATTCAATTTTTGTACTTTAATGTCAGTAACGAGAAAAAGAGGCAAAAACTTTCCTTAAAGATATTCTTCACTGAAATTAAACCATTAAAGATTATTTGTATTGGGGGACTATTATGTCCTTCAAGGGATATCTCTACTTCCTCTTTCAAAGCTTTACAGACCAGAGGTGGTGTTGGGGTTTACTTACCGGAACTAGAGCACAGAACCTCTGGGAGGCCATTTCCCCTGTCCATTTGTTTATGGGCCCTTGCTGAATTAAAGGTAAAGCCTGATGATCTAAACCCTTGGATTAAGCTGGGTTTTGACCTCCTGGTTAAACCCCCTGAGTCATTCTACATGAAAGTTTTTTTCCCCCTCTGGATTCACAATTCTCTCCCCTCCCCTCTCCAAACAACTCTTTTGACAAACAGGGTTTCCTTAGGAGACAGGGATTTTTAATTTACCAAGACGTCACAGAATATGTTAGTGTATACAATTTCTGCCTTGGGGGAGGGGAGTCTTGTGGGCCTGAGCCTCAGATCTTTTCCCATACCTATCACTATCCCTGCTGCAGACCTCTTCAATGTACATGAAGGGTGCTTAGAGGCAATTACAGAAGAAATGCAATATACATGCTTTGCTAACTTGTTTTCAAACCTTTTTATACTGCTGCTGGAGGAAACTTTCATCAGCTGCCTTTGCCAGATTTCACCAAGATCATATGCCCAACAAAACTATTTTCATTCTTTCTGCAATTCGATATTTCAATGACTGGCCTAGGACAAATGGCAGCACTTTTTAGAATGCTTTGCAGCTACCAGAATGTTTGGCATTGCACAACTGGCCATTAGTATACATGTCAACAAGAATCAAAGGGAAAATGCATTCATCCTAAATGTAAGCAGCTAATTAGGATTTTAAAAAATCTTGTTACTCATTTTCAGCAGTACTGTATATTTAAAAGCTATTGTATATTGTCAAGAATAGTTGTCACACTACACATGACACTTTCTCTCCCCCCGTTGTCCACCTTAACACAGTTTTTACTTAAACACAGTGAAGTTATGTGAACCAAGTACCAGAGTACTGAAAGATGTGATTTAGCAAAGCCAATTCCAATACATGGCACTTGCTGGCTCCATAGCAACCATTTCACCTCAATGCCTGTGCAGACATGCTTTGCATTTCTAGTTCATTTTCACAGACTTGCTCTGTTGTTTACCTTCATTGTATTTATGAAAAAGGGTGCAAAGTAGCAGAAGAATATCAGACAAGCAAGATCTGTAATGGATATTTTCCCTTACAGATGTCTTCTATTTTAAAATTGAATTTAATTTTAGGATATTAAAATTGTGCAACATATAGAAGTGGTTTTTAAAATAGCTGCTTTTATTTCTTGCTTTTTGTCTGATAAATATTGGGCTCAAGAATAGTTAAAAGTATGATGATTATATGAGCATTTTACTGTAATTTCTGTGGATTTGTGTTTTTCCTCTTCAGAAGGGAGGAAAAAACTGAACATTAGCAGTCTATCAAATAATGGGTGCTTGGTGCTTTTGCATTGTTTAAAACGGGGGGGGGGGGACCTGTGGGTTCCAGATGTTGACAACTTCTATCATTCCTGACCATAGGCCATGCTGACAGGAACTGATAGGAACTGAGACTCCAAAGATGCTGGGCCACAGATTCTCAGCACTAATTTAAGATAGACCATCATCATTTCTAGCACAATGGATTTTACTGGAATGTCCTTCTGAATGGGAAACTAGTCTTGAATTATACTAATGGAAAAAAGGAGAATACAGTAGTCCCCCAAAATTTGTGGGGTTACGTTCCTAGAGCACCCGCGAATTGTGAAAAACTGCAAATTTGGTGCTGGCAATAGGTGCCAGCTGCCAAGGCAGTGTGGGCAGGAGGTATGGGCCGGGCCAGGCTGGGGGGCAGAGATCGTTTTCTCCAAGGGAGTCCAAACTTGGAGGAAACAATCTCCTTGCGAGTAAGCTGCCGCACAGCAAGGCGCTGACTCACTTGCAAGGAGATCGGCTCGCTTGGAGAAAAATCCCGCAAACGACTGAAGCTGCAAACGCTGAACTGTGATTTCATGGGGGTATACTGTACTGTATTTTGAAGGGTAATAAGTTAATGGTGGTTTGTTCAATCAAAGGACAGGTGTAGAATAGACATGTTTTTATACTCCTTTTAAAATTCTGCAAAACCAGCCCAACACTAAACTGGCTCATCCATATTGTAGGTATATTCAGAGTTCACTGTTATTTAGCATTACTAGAACACAGTTCTGGCACATTTGAACTTTCAAGTTCCCACTTCCTTCATTGTCAGTAGCAACAGAATTCTAGTTCTTGCTACGGGGAGGGGGGGGGATGACTGAACCACAGAACAAGCCCAAGAGGAAGTGGGCTGGATCTTAAAGGTACCACTACTATGTCTGTTTTGACAGCTGACAAGTCCATACAGAAGCTGCCCTCAGCACACACTTCTACTCCCCGTTGGTTCCCAGTGCTGAACTGTGCCTTGTTCCAATACAATGTTTGCAAGGCATGGGACACATTCCTAGAAGAAAGTGATTTGTCATGTTCAAAAATTCATACCTAGTCTCAGTTCTGCTACCAAATAGTCAAGCAGATTGAATACAGCACCCTAAGGTCCATACCACAAATAATAGAGGGGATCCTGTTACCTCTCCAAATCACCATCAGATTTAAACACACAAGCCCATCTTATGCCACTTCTGCTTTGTTAAGCTGTAATGATATTTTAAAAATCACTTTACAGATGCGACACAGTGATCCTAGCTCTGAAGCATGCTGTATAAAGCATACTGTATAAAGGCTGTTTTAAATAGTAAGACGCTTTTTAAAACACTCATATGAATGCTTCATATCCAAGGAAGAAAGAGAAGTGACCTCCCCTCCAAATTTTATTGCATATATGCTGGGAACAAAACTTTTAAC